GTTGGCCCCCCCCCCCCCCCCCCAAAAAAAAAAAAAAAAAAGCCTGAATCGTATCATTTTGTGTGCGGATGTCTTGTTTTAATTAAAAACAGTCTCCTCATTACTAATAGTAATAATGGATATTCACCTTCATAAGTTATAAAACATCTTACCTTCCCCCTTGGAAATTTTCAAGGCACTGAATAGCAAATGAAACGCCTTCAAACAGATGCAGTTACTGATTTCTATCTCTCCTCTGCCCCGAACTCAAGTTAATTGCTTTTCTTTCTCTGTTTAGCACTTTCAGACCATGCTAAAGACAAAGTTGAATGTGCTAACTCTTCGGAAGGAGCCTCTCCCGACTGTGATCTTCCACGAACCAGAAGCTATTGAGCTGTGCACCACAACTCCGCTTATGAAGACCCGGGCTCATGCTGGATGCAAGGTACTCGGGAGTAAAAGCTTAAGGGACAAGACCGCTGTGGAGGTCCCACGTGCGTAAGGGGGATCTAAAGGGTCCAAATTAACGTTGTCATTGTTATTCTGGAAACCTCATTGACTACTAGTGTTACTATAAGGTTTGTAAATCAAAAAAGTCATTGGGGTTTCTAAATTAAATTCTGGGCTTCACTACAACAGGTTTGGGTGTGTGGTGCAATGCCAATTGCGGAAGATTTTTAACTGCTTGCAGTTAAAGTCACTAATTGTAAACACAGCCATTGTCTTCTGTGAGTGCCAGTACCGAGATAGGACCGGAAGGGCCAAATGCTGCTACTTGTATATAGAAAGCTGCAGTAAGAGAGAGATAATCCTACTGAAATAGGGTTGCAGGCCAAGAATTGGGGTTGGTTAGTTAAGGAAATAAAAAAGGCGGTTAGGCCTTGAATCAGTTAAGCAGCAAGATTAATTTGCCCAGTTACATCAAAGCACAACTTCTGAACAAGTTTTATTTCTTCTTTAAAGTTTAACAGCTTAAGTGCTTTGAGGGTGCTCTTCTGTGGAAAGAAACTTTATAGAAAAAGCAAACAAATCTATTCCCGGTGCATGTCCTGACAGAGCTGTTTAACGGAGCCTCGTCTGGCAGAGCTGCGGATGGTCTTGTGGATGGAGCCACATCCCAGCTCAGGATGTGCTGCGCTTACGGGCTTGTAAGCGCTTTTTGAGTGGTTTTGTTGTTAGAGAGAGATCTGACGTGACTGACATGGGGTTGGAAGAAATTGCTTCATGGTTGGTTGGTTTGTTTGTTTGCTCTTTTTTTCCTCCTGCTTTTGCTGGCTTAATGGGTGCATGACATGAGTTGTGGGTGCGTTGTGAAGCGCTTTGCACCAGCACCTCCAGGTCCCTGCACTGTATCAGCAAAGTTTCCCACTGTGAAATGTCATTTTTTGTTTGACTTTTACCTGCCGCAGTAGCCAAGGACCAAGCACGTTGTTCAGCGCTGAGCCCCGCTGCCCTATGCCGGCGCCGTGAAGGCAGGCCCTAATGCACTTAGTGCGTTAACTCATAGCATCCGCTCTTCTGCAATGATGTCTGTTGTCTTTATGTTGACAGGTAGTGAATTTTTAGAGAATGTTTGCTATCATAGATACTTTGTGAATCGTATTTGCCTTCCACCCCTCATGTGAGAGAGTTCAGAGGTAATAATGTTTTCTGAAGTCAGAACGCGTATAGAATTTAAATGAGCGTTTTTATTCAACCTGCATTTCTTCAACTGGAAAAGATGGATAGCAGAGAGATGTTGAACCCCTCAGTGCAGAGAATCTTGCTCTATAATTAGAGGTTTTGGTATTTTTTTTCTTCTGCAAAGTAACATAGCAGTTGTGACTGCTATGGGAGCTCTGGTTTTATCCAATCTCTTTATTCACAATCTTTTTTTCTTTTTTTCTTTCTTGACTAAATGTATTCCTCTCATAGTGGGTTTATATCCTCCAGCTGTTTCTAGGTAATTAGCTCGCCTTGCCTCTCTCCCCTCCAATTATTACTTTCTTGCTGAGTGATTCTATGTGTTGCCATTACAAAGCCAATATTTTATAATAAGAGTTTTCTCTCTGTGCGGTCTGATCTATCACAGTTATTCCAGGTTGTAAGTGGGGGAAATGCTGCGGTGTGTCCAGTGTTAACTCTCATGAGACTTTGGCTTTTTAAGCAAGAGCACAGCATTCAGTTTTTACTTTATTTCATGAGTCATACTCTTTTGATCCTTAATCGTTTTATTCCTCTTCACTGAAATCCCTCCAATTTTTCTGCATAATCCCATTAATGAGATAGCATCGTTCTTCTGACAGAGCTCCAGACATCTCATTTTATTGCACTGTTTTAACATAAGCCTCAGCTGGCACCATGGTGTTAAGGGAACTTGACATATGCAATTGCTTTGCTGTTCAGAGGTCTGGGCATTGGCTTTCTTGGGAGTTGCTCTTTCCTCGTCCTTTCATCACAACACAGGCTTCTCTTTTTCATTTGGCTTTTGCTGTTGACTCCTTAAGCAACGAACTGTTCTGTGGAGATCCGTTCTCATTTTATAATTGAATGTGATGGCTTTAGGAATAGCCGAGAAATATTTTTTGTGAAGTAATCTATGGAGGAACCCCTGCAAAGTCTGGAAGATTAAATAATTGAACACATTTCTCTCTTCCTTGCCCAATTCCAGAACTGATGTAACTTCATGGCCATCATGTGTCCTGAAATAAAATTTTTACTTACAGCAGAAGGCTTCAGACTGGTTGCTCCTGTCCTGGCATGTCCACCCCTGCGTGCTCAGGCTGGCTGTGCCATTGCCTTTTTCCACCCTCTGGACTCATTGGCATGATTTTGCTGAGCAGGACAGAAGGGGTGATGTTTGCCCATGTTGGCTGGGCGGAGCGGTCATCGTGGGTGCCCAGGTGGTCCTGGTGCTGGCAGTAGGAATAAGTCTTTCCTCCTCCTCAGCTGGACCACGTTTAAAATCACAGGTTCCTAATTTGCCCTTATTTAAAAGGAGCATGTTTGTGTTTACTGACATGAGTGCCATGTGGATGTGCATATATAGAAATGTGTCTTTCCTTGTTTGGATCCGAAGGATTTGGATTTGACAGTGGTTATCTTACTTGTGGCTCTTTCACACCAAACGCAGTGTGCGCTCTCGCATTTCAGCTGGAAACTTCCCTTATCGCAGCACTACATACAGGCAGACGGAAACTGAAAATCCGGAACATCTCCAGAAAGCAGGTTGCTGTCTACCCAGAAATGTATGCTTTCTCTGTGCCTTTTAACAGGTTTTGTTTAAGTTCTGCGTATTTTATTCCTCACTAATGTCCTAATCGGCTTGCACTGATTCTAATGTTTCCTGATTTCTGTCCCTTGCAGCTATGGTGGTGGCGTGAAGGGAACTGGCTAGATGACTCTCTCTCTTCCGCTGCTGCGTTTCCAGGCACTGTTGCTGTAATGCAAAAGGACAGAGGTTAAAAGCATTGCCTGCAACTTTTGAAGTGGTGTCACAGATTTAACGTTTTTATTAAATTATGAGGCCTCCTCAAAGTGAAGTCGGTACTGAAGTCAGTAGCTCAACTCAGGACTAGTTTCCTTCAGAAGCTGTTATCCATCTGGATGAGGCGATCTTATGCTTCCAGTTCCCACCACTGGATGAGCTACGCCCATCAGCATGGGAGGCCACGATTGCAGAAACATCAGCAGTGCAAATAATACTATTCCTAAGAATATGCTTTTATTAAATGGCAAAATATATTTTTGTGACATGGTGTTTGCAGGCGTGATACTTGTTCACTTGTCTTACTGCATTCAGTTGGTAAGATTATTAATTCAGGCTTTGAAGGTATGATTTTGAAACTTCTGCAATAACAGATCTTAGGTTAAGGCTGAGAAATGATTTGCATACATGGCATTTAGAGCGGTACTGGCATTTTAAAATCAAATCGTGCACATATTGATGCAGACTTAAACAGTGAAGAATTGATATAAATAAATGGAGGTTGTCTTTCAGAGCAGCTTGAACGGTCGCTTCGCTCACAAGGCGCCGGTGCGGCTGCCGCGTCGGCAGCCGTCGTGCGCCGAGCCCTGGATGGCATCCTGGGTCCGCGCCAGGGCCGGCTGCCCCGTGTCGCTCCCGCGCCGCTTTGTACCTGCCTTGCACCTCACACCCCGACAGCGTAGCGACGGTGGGATCTCTGCGGAGGTGATTGCCCCATCGTCCTTACCTTTTCTGCCCCCTTGGTTGTAGCTTTTGGGTTACGTTAGGGGACCCAATAGTTTGTCTTTGCAACGCTTGACAGCCGAGCAGCGTGCAACAGCTGCCCTGCACTGCTGCGCGTGGTAGTCCGTGCTAACAGTGCCAGGAGCGTAGCATAAGCAGGAACAGCCGGTAGGGTGTCTGAGCAGTCAGTCCTAAGGGAAAAAGCTACAGTGCTACTATGGGAAAGGTATTGTGGAGGGACACCTGGAGAGGAGCCTGGAGGGTGCTCATCTGGGGACCCCGTCGCTTCTCTTCCTAGCTGGCCACTGGGGAGAGTTTTCCCTTTCCCTTTGCAGACCTTGCTAATAAATCTTTGCGCATGTGAAACTGTCTCGACGTCCTTGGTGCAATGGGATTTGCACCAATGTAGCAGAGACTGTAATTCAGTCTGCAAGGTAAAAGTCTGTAATAAATGTATGGGATTAATAGTGACCAATATTGATAGTGCTCTGATTATATTCCACAGAAATGAGATGTTTCTCACTGGGGTACTGATTAAATAAATAAAACGTTGTCTTAGAGTTGACCTGCTAGACCTGCTTCTGATCTCTTGTGTAAGAGTGTCATTTAGAAATAACATCTGCTCAGATGTTACTGCCTATTTCTGTATTTCTGCCTTGTTAATTTTGATTGCAAAGACCTTGGAGCAGGACTGTCTCTCACCACGTGCTTGCAAAATGCTGTGTGTTACAGGTGGGTTTTGTACTTTTTTGACACTGAATATGTCAAACCTAACACAAACGTTGTCTCATTTCAATATCCAGAGACCAAGGTGTTCTTGTCTCTTTGTACTGCCCTGTTGGCTGAGAAGGGCTGTAAATGTGCCCTAACCGGCTGGCCTGGGGAAATCCAGGTGCCGTACACGGGCAGGAGGGAACCTGGCAATTTCTTGTTTGGGAAGGGGCTCATTAGGAGCTGTTATGGGGTGATGGCAAGTCCTCAGGGGCAGTGATGGCCAGCGCAAGTGGAGCAGCTCGGGTCTGTGGGGCAGCTGAGGGACCTGGTTGTCGCTCAGGTCGTACTTGTCGAATCCGGCCTCTTGGTCGCTGGGACGTGGCCGCCGCGGCCAGAGTCTCCCGGGCTCCTTCCCCGTGGGTGGAAACGGCTCCTCCAGTGTGGAGCTTAGCGTGGAGGAAAGGAACATGCAGGTTTTGTGGATACTATGGATATTGCAGATTCTGGTCAGTATGAAATCATGTATTAGGACCTTTCTGAAC